GGTAAATTGAACGGAGTGGTCGGTATTTTACGAAGATTTCTCACAATGTGGTGTGCTTTATCTAGCTCTCCCCAAAGAGTCGAACAGTATACCTCGCCTCAGAACTTGTGTGAAGAATTATTTGAAATGCAAATTTGAAATTTGCAGGATTCACTGGGGAAGCACTGTTTTTGTGCCTGTTGGCCTTCATTCATGATCCAACGCTAGCCGTTACTTGTCTTGTAAGTGCCGCTACTCTCAGTGGAATGAACGTCGCAGGTGAGCATTGATAATTTCGATCCAGCTGTCGCTTTCTACATGGAAAGCGATAATTTGCATGGGTGCGATAATCAATAGATTACTTTATTCCTTCAGGATTCAACGTGAATCACTTCGATATCGCTCCTCGTTATGCTTCCATTTTGATGGGACTGTCAAATGGTTTTGGGGCACTCGCTGGTCTTAGTGGTTTCATCACACAGCATCTCACCGTCAATGTACGTTTTTATCGATTTTGGCACGATTACTGATTGCTCTCCCCTTTCAATCTGCAAACAATCGAAAATAGTACTGTCGTAGTCCAGCGTGACCGATTTCGTTACCTCGAAATGTAGAATTGCTTTGACCATGCTTCAAATTACTGCAGGCACATTCCGCGGTAGCAAAATGGGCGGAGATAGAGAAGCGTGCTTCTTTGAAGGCAGTAAAGTGTGGCGTCAGAGGATGTTTTACTGTCTCTACTCAAAGCGCAAAAAAATCTTCCTGTAAGATATGAGGACGTCTCTTCATAAGTAGAAACCATCTAAACGACCCCCGCGAGTTCTACCCTGCGCGGCGAAACGCAGTCCCACGTGCGGGCTCGAGCCCGCCTAGGTTCTAGACTTTTGTTCATAACTCACTCTTGCGATAGCACTCACAGCGCGAACTGCCGCGTTAAACAGTAGTCACCACAACAAAGTGATCAATATTTTTAGAGGGAAATTACTGAGAAATTTATGGAAGTGTCGAAAGCCTGATTTTTTTTCTAGAATCCTGCTGGCTGGAAGTACTGCTTCCTCCTCGCCATGTCTGTTGATATTTTCGGCATAATCTTCTTCTTATTATTCGCCAAAGGAGAAGTACAGGTGAGAGCCGGCATTTGAAAGTTAAAAAAAACACAGCGTTAGCCATCGACACATGCAGTCGCGACAAGACCCATACCGCTCCGTGGTATAGGGGCCCAGCCGATTCAGGCTTTTTTGACCCTTGAGTCACCTATGCAACGATCTTTTGTCAGATGAAAAGGTTTACCCGTGGTCGCTCAGCGACCGGACGCGTCGTTGGCCTACTCATTGCACCAACAAGCAAAAGTTGGTTTTCTAAACAAATTCCTTGAATTTCAGGACTGGGCACGTGAACCCGAACCGGAAGAAACGCTAGGAGAGTTCGTCAGAAGAATTTGTGAGTTTGCTCCCATCACTTTTGAAGTAAAGCAACCTAATTAAACTAATAGCTTTTGCACTGAATAATGATGAAGCCACTCTTGTAAAAGCAGGTATGAGCTGGAAATAGATGGTTCACAGTGAAATTTTTCAGCAACTTTGGTCCGTAATATGTCGTCAAGGCGACGATCAGTCGGTTCACGTGGTGAGAGCGCTCAGATCGACTAGCGCCAGGTGAGTTTTGCACAGGTTTCTACTACAAATCGTTCAGCCTAAGCGTTCCTTCTAGCTTAATGGTGATTCGTGTGGCGTGGCAAACGCGTCCAGCGCTTCTGCCCTCCTCAGTGGTGCACTCCTCCCTCTAGACAAAGACCGGAAGAACCAAAGGCGCACTAATGAAGGAAGGCATAGAGAAGACCGTATGATCAGGCCGGACTGTGGCCGGGAACGGTTACAGACAGGATTGGCGGAAACCCCATAGAAACCACGATCGAGACCCGTCACAGTGCCATAGTGTTAATTCACCTCATGACACGAGGGAGTGCTCTCTATACAAAGTTTTGGTGCAGCATGGAATTCCTACAGGTCCAAAGTTGGCGCCTAATTCAGGGTGCACTGCGATTTGGCTTGGTCATGTGCAGTCCTTTCGCTGCGGATGAAGGGGCGTGTCGTAAGGCTAGTTTTGTCGCGCAGCCAGCTCGTCCTCCTCCATTCGTTGACCGAATAACAGTAATCGGCAGCAACTGCTGGAAAACGACTGATACGGGCGATATGATGCAGTCTTGTCATTCGCCGAAGCAAAAAAAGGAGAACGGGTTGACGCACCGGCAAACCCATCTCTCTCTTAACACGCCTCGTCATCCGCAGCAAACAAGACAAAGCTACAGACCGAATGTCCCACCCCTTCGGATGCTGACCACGCCCATTGATTTCCTGTTGAACAAGAAAAGGAGGGGGGGGGGCGATCTGTATCATCTGTTTGCTCAAGCTGTTAACTGTTTGAACGTTGCGAATACTATTATTGACGCGTTACCTTTTCAGCATGGAAGAAGAACGAAACAACTCGTCCGAAATGGAGCCAAGAAAAGTATCAGAAGGGGAGCCAAGAAAAGTATCAGAAGGGGCCGAAGTGACGCTGCCTGAAGAGAAAGTTCACGATCCCAGAAAGACCACCGATCGGCCGGAAGTGTAAAGGACGCACCGCTTAGAGCGGATCACAGCTCTACAGACTAAGATCCCTATTGGATCCGTAACGCTGACGCTATAGAACACCGTAATCGTTCATGATACAGTAATACGCAGTTTCTAAGTGTAGCATAGTTTGTTGAAATTCGACTTCTTCACCTATTCTTTGTGATTGCATTAATCTTTCTCATCTCCATTGCCGGGTATTTATTGAAGCCCTTTTCTTTCCAGTAGGTTATTGAAATTTTAGAATCTAATTCTTCTTCTTAGCTAGTTATGTCAGAGGCGACGTGTCTGCTACGCAGGCGGCCGCGTTGCGGTCCGGGTCACCTCCGTCAAGACTATTTACAGCAATGGGCTAGTTAAATTACTATTAATATTTCTATAAAGCACTTACATTTAAAATTTCGCTTAACTTAATCATTTTGTATTATATTTGGATTGTTCCGTGTTGTACGATGGAAAAGAAAACGTCTTTGGTTTTGATGAAGTGAAGCGGCATAGAAGCGGATCATTCTGTTGAATTAGAGTCTTGGACGACAGCCGCAGATTCCCTTGAGAGCTTAAATGAGGCGTGTAAACAGTAGTGATTTGTTTGAATATTCGCTAATATTTTCTTTGACATCTGTTTTATTATTACTAGTCTCCTCAGGAATGAGTGTATCGCTGTTGGACGGAGATTCATTACCTGAATCTCGTATCGACTTTTATTTGTTCCTTTTCATTCGTTCTGTTGACATTACAATTTGCAGCAATGCCTTTTGATTTGACGACGATTTGATTAGCCATATCTCTTTGCACATATTTTGACATGCCATGACAACTTGTCGTGACTATACTTATAAATACTTTTACTATAGACAAGTTTTTGAAGAGTACGGATGAACACACCACATACTGTATGTCACGGCGATGTAACACAAGCAATCGATAAACGATTATACAAGACAAAAACGTGACCCCATATCCGATGCATCTCTACCCAGCTGATTGGAGTGTTGAGACCCGTGCTAGCAGGATTCTGGTGAATAGGTGTAACAAGGCGGACCAGCGCCCGGTTTGGGTCAGAACGCGAGTATCGAGAGGACCAGTATCTTTTCACAGGAGCACGGGATGCGTCTTTGGAACGAATGATTCCCGTCTCGCGAATTGAGGACTCTTATACAGGTGCCAAGCAGAGGGCGTCGCTGTACGGAAGCTGTTATCACGGGAGACCAGGACTAGGACATTATCCCTGAAGACTATCTTTGGGACTAGTGCTCGGAAAAAATGCTCTTCTATTGTGTAAGACAGCACTCTAAACGAGACATGGAATGTCTGCATAACTTCATGTAAAGCAATGATATACAGTGTGTAACAAAAGTATGTGGACACCTCAAAATCTAGTTTTAAAATGTAACCAAAGCACTTTCTCGATCTGGATCCTTCCTCAATCGATTCCTCGTGGCCGATAACCCTATAACTGGGCACTCGAGCGATAACTAAGCTTCACTTTCACAACATATTTTTGAATAGAATTTCCTTGTTTGTACCAAAAGTATGTGGACACCTGAGAAAGTCCAAAGTTTGGCTCCAAATCTGCGATCCATTTTTATCGTCTCTACTCCCCATTAACCTGTACTCATGCCTCGTCGTGGTAGAACTCTCTCCGAAGAAGAACAAGCTCAGATTCGAGCTCTCAGTGCTGCTGGACACTCGAATAGAGAAATTGCAAGACAGCTCGGACGTTCGGCGACGTGCGTTGGTAAATACCTCCAGAATCCTGATGGCTACCATTCAGCACATATTTCGGGGCGTCCACGATCTTTGTCCGCAAAAGACATCAGAAGAATAGCGCGTACTGCCTCGAACTCCCCCTTTCTGTGAGACAGATCCATGCTGCAATGAATCTACCGGTCTCAAAAATGACGATATGGCGCTATATTCGATCAAATGAGCACATCACCAGAGAGACCATGAAGAAAGCTCCTCGTTTGACTGCCCAACACCAGCTGGCGAGACTGAACTTTGCGCGTGCAAACATGGCGTGGGACAAGGTGCAGTTTTTTGAGAAATTTGTAAAATCAGAAAGACAACATCTTATGCGCATTTCTTTCTTAGGTTATCTTCACTGATGAAAAAAGTCAATCTCGACGGTCCAGATGGATATCGGCACTACTGGAGAGACCTTCGTCGCGATCCGTTGGTGTTCTCGAGGCGAAATTTCGGAGGCGGCTCTTTGATGGTGTGGGGTGGTTTTGGAAGCAGCGGAAAGTTGGAGCTTGCCTTCCCATCGTGCCGTATGAACAGTCAGGAATACCAAGGAGTGCTTGAGTCTGACCTCTTGCCTTTTCTCAGTGCTGAGGAAAAGGCAAGAGGTCAGACAAGAGGCAAGATGTGCTGCAGCAGGACAACGCCATCGTGCATGTTCCAAATTCTACTAGAGAATGGCTCCAACGCCATGGTATATAAAAGTGATGGATTGGCCGGCGTGTTCTCCTGACTGCAACA